ATGGTGTTGCATTAATAGTGCAAGCTCGGGTTCTGCCATTGCTTTGGCACCTTGGGCACACTCTGTGACTCAGTTTAACCTTCATCTTTGAAATAAGGATAAACCCTTACCACACTGAGCTGTTGTGAAGATTAAATTAAATATTATGTCTAAGGCGCTTAGAAGCATGCCTATCCCAAGTGAAGCACCCCCTAAATGTTAGCTGCTATTGTTGTTTCACTGCTACTTGGGGGAAAAAAGCTAGAATAATAAAAGGCTGCTTGTTCTGACGTGTATACAGTGGCTTTCTGGTTTATTTTTATTACTTATTTAGGTCTTTCTTATTTTGAGAAGGATCTTAGTTTTAATAGGTGCTCTGTTGGTAGCCCAGCTGATAGTTTTTTCGTTTGAGAGTCAAGCAAAACCTCTTTGTGGCGGAGTCCTTATGTGCCCAGGCTGGTCTGGGTGGAAGCACTTACATCTCCCCTTTGTGCAGGGCATAGGGCTGGGCAGAGGTGTGGCTCGTGGTAGCCTTTGTGGTCACCTTGGCAGCTCACTGCCCCGCTGCCATCATGACACGTTTAACTTCTCTTCTGCTGTAGATATTCCCAGTTCTGCCTTGACTCCCACAGACTGCTCTTGTTTGTTGTAGCTTTGTTAATGTGGTTTCCTCCCCCTTGTTTCCAGCAGGAACAGCTTGCGGTCCAGAATGAGGAAAGGAATCGAATTTAGCTTGACATTTAATCATTATCTCTTAGTTGTCCAAAGAGAGTATTTAGTGTGATGCTTCAGTTGAAATAGAATTTCTCCTCTTCAGAGCAGTCTCCACGTGAAGGAATACCCTAGATGGGTCAGATGCAAACTGGTGAGAAAGGACGGCTGGTAAAGTATTCCAGTTGCCATTCTTCCAGCAAATACTTTCTTGTCTGTTTTTTCTTTTTTGCTGAGGAAGATTTGCCCTGAGCTAATGTCTGTTGCCAGTCTTCCTCTTTTGGTATGTGAGCTGCTGCCACAGCATGGCCACTGAAGAGTGGTGTAGGTCCACACCCAGGAACCGAACCTGTGCGGCCGAAGCGGAACACACTGAACTTTAACCACTAGACCACCAGGGCTGGCCTAGCAAATACTTTTTGAGATCAGTGAACAAAATAAGACAAAAATCCTACCCTTATGGAACTTACAGTCTAGAGATGGGCTCTTCTCAGCACTTTTCTACGCTTCTTATTTTGCTCACATTAAAAACCAGAGTCTGTATGATGACCTAAAAGGCCCTGCGGGATCTGCTGCCCAGCCCCACCCACTTACCTCTTTGACCTCATTACAGGTCGCTCTCCCCTCACCTTACTGATCTCGGTGCTGCTCCTCAAACGTGACAGGCACTCCTTTTTAGGGCCTTTACGCTGGTTACTTCCTCTGCCTGTTGAGTTCATCTTCTAGATAAATCATTTCAGCTAACTTCCTCATGTCCTTCGTGCCTAAATGTCAGCTTTTCAATGAGGCCCACCCTACCAACCTATTTAAGTTACAACCGCCCCACCCTCCCAACAATCCTGACCCCCTTTTCCTTGCTCTGTCTTTTTCCATACTACTTATCAATTTTTAACATATAATTTACTTATTTGTGAAGTAAGTTTAAAGAGGGCAGGGATTTCATTTTGTTTGCTGAGGCATACTAAGTGCCTACCCAGATCAGTAGTCGGCACATAGTAGGTATTCAATAAACGCGTTGAAAGAATGATTGAAAATGAAAAGTACTGCAGAAAACTTTAAGAAGGTGGTAGTAGTTTCTCATGGCTGTTGTAACATATTAACAAAACCTTGGTGACTTAAAACAACAGAAATTTATTCTCTCAGAGTTCTGGAGGCAGAAGTCCAAAATCAACGTGTTGCCAGGACTGTGTTTTTTGAAGGCCCCAGTGAGGATCTGTTGCTTGCCTCTTCTGGCTTTTGGTGGCTCTAAGCGTTCTTTACCTTGTGGCCCACATCACTCCAGTCTCTGCCTCTGTGGTCACATCACCTTCTCTCTCAAAACTCCTTCTGCCTCTCTCTCATAAAGATACATGTTAACTGATTTTAGGGCCCACTGAATAGTCCAGCATCAGTGCCTCCTCTCAGGATCCTTAACTTAATAATGTCTTTCATCATAAAAGGTAATATGCACCCTTTGCCATATAAAATAATCTTTACAGATTCTGGTGGTTAGGATGTGGACATACCTTTTTAGGGGCCACCCTTCAGCCCACTGAAAAGGGTGAAGGGGATCCTTTGGTTAAGGAGGAAGAATCTTCCCTGTGTACCACCTAGTGGAATGCTGAATACAGGGAAGGCCAGGAGACTGCTTTCATCCATTTCCCCCATTTTTACTGAAATTTTTATTAAGATTACATTATTTTTTTTCAAACTAAACACATACACACACAGAAGAGCACAAAGGATAATATTACAATTTCCATGTACTGGCCTCCCCATTGTTAACATGTTAACATAGTTTCTTCATACCCTCTCTTCTTCTTGTTAGGAAATAGACATTATAAATAAACTCCAGATCTCCTATGTTCCCATTCCTATTTCTGTTCCTTTCTCTGCCTTTCTAGAGGCAGTCACTATCATTAATTTGGTATAGGACCAATATATGGTTGATAGCTTTATTGCACGTGCAACTATTCATACATAGTTTGGGCAGTTCTGTAAGTTTGTGTTAAAATATTTTCCATTAATGGCATTGTACTGTTTGTGACATTCTGCAGCTTGCTTTTTTATCAATACAAGTTGATACATATGAATCTAGTTCATTCATTTTAGCTGCAGCTCTAAGGGACAGGTTCTTTCTCTCTCGGCTTCAGTATATGTAAATCCCGGAGAAGGCCTCTGATTAGCCTAGCTTGATCTTGTGGGTTCATTGGAAGGCGGACTCTGATTGTTCAAGCTTGGCGTACACGCCTCCCCCTGTAGCCAGAGGGTCGGCTTGTTGTGTGTGCAGCTCCCATCAGGATCACGTGCGTTTGAAGGATTGTTGCAGGAAGAAGTGGAAAAAGGATTTGGGGCAGACAAAAACACAGATTTGCACTTGAGTTTCAACCTTGAGCTTGGACGTCAGGTCCTCCAGGAAGCCTTCCCTGCCTCCTTAGAGCATGCTCTGAGCCCTTGCACTTACAATCATTGTAACCATTATCATGTAGTATCTTAACTGCCCTCTTCTTCTCTTGAGGTGTACTCATTCAGGCCAGAGACTGACTGTGTTGTTCTACTGCTATATCTCAGGAAATATAAGGTCCAGCACACCATTACATGTTCGGCATATGTTTCTGAATGACTGATTCCAGGTACAACTTTCAACCTCACTCCCTGTGAACAGGTTCCTGCCAGGGAATCCTGAGTGGCTGTGGATGTTTGCATCTGCCTTTCAGGTCCGTTAGACTCTGGCTCTTTTCACATCTTTTGGTTTACATGGGTCATTTGGCCCTGTTTGGGATTTTCTTTTTCTTATTTAATAGTGAGAATTCAAGGAAAGATGAAATTGCTAAAATGCAAACTCAGACTTCCTTTGTAAACTCTTTTGAGTTGAGCCCTGCCAGGCCTTTTTCATCCCACTATCCCTTTAGCTTTCATGTGTGTGCAGTAATTTCTTTCTAACCTCAAATATGCTATCAGCAGAATATGTTTTATTCAGATTTACTTCTGAACATCTTTTTAGCATCAGGAGACTTCGGATTCCATTGGCTGTAGGATGTGAATCATTCTGTTTGGAAGGAGGGGAGGAGGAACAGCAGCAGCAGTGGTGGCAGTAGTAGTAATGATAGTAGCAGCCACCGTTTGTTGCATGCTTTTTCTGTACCAGGCATGTAGAGGTAGGTGTCATCTCTATGCCTGTCATACAGATGAGGAAACTGGAGCTTGAAGAGCTCAATGAGCCACTCAAGTTCTCTCAGCTCCTGAGTGGTGGGGCTGGGATGTGAATCCGCACACTGATACCAGAGCCACACTCCTAAGGACCCTGTTCTGTTGCTTCTGTAATTAAGAAAGAGAAAGCTGGGGTTTGGTAACAGAAAAGGATATCAAACTGATCATGGATAATGAGTGGGGTTTCTTTCATAAAGCGTTGAAAAAGATAAAGAGCATGAGGGAGGATCCCAGATGCTAGAACATTATTCCCACGGCCTATGTGAGGAGAGAAGGAGCCAAGGTGTGTGTAAGTGGGGCTGAAGCCACGCACTGTGGCACAAACAGGCACCACGTTACCCAGAATATTGGAGAGACCGTTTGAGAAATACAGGTTGCCCAGCGCTCTTTCTGTCTCCAGCGTGCTAGTTGGTCTGTAGCCCTGGGACTCTTGCCGTGCTAGGAGTCATTTAACCAGAAAGATTTTGAATATGTGGATAAATATTTAGACATAAAACAAGCTTTACTTAGAATACCTACATACAGCAAAGCACAGTCAATTTATAAGCATCTCACTGAAACTTTATGGGAGAGGCAACCCCAGAAGTTTACAGCAGGCAGGCAGTGGAATCTGACTATATGCTACCATTATTATTAAAGATACGTACAAGGCCACTGATGCCACTTTTCTTTATTTGTGTTGTTTTAAATCAATAGATACAAGGGCTGTCATAGGTTCAGTCTAGATCTTGGTATCTGTCCCCTAACCCTGTATTTACTCTAATCTTGTGTTATCTTAGCTCTGAATTCTCTTGCCCTGGATGTTTTCAGGAACATAACTCCTACAGTTGGAGATGACTCATATCACTAAACTTGATAGGATAATCTGTGCCCTTTGTAACCTGTCTCCTATACTAGGTTATTGTAAGTACCTTCCAGGCAGGGACGCTGTTTTCTGCTTTTGTAGTACTTGACTCAGTTCTCTACCGAGTAAATACTCTACTGGTTTATATTTGGACTAATAGTGCTACTTGCATAGTGTGTCTGTATTCCCAAATGGGGTTGTCTTACTTCTATCCATAGAAAGCAAGTGTAGCTTAATGGATGGTATTAAATGGAATCGTGTTTTTATCTCCCTCTAGGTTGCATCACAGCGTATTAGCTCAGTGGACCTCTCGTGTTGTAGCCTGGAGCATCTGCCTGCCAACCTCTTCTACAGCCAAGACCTCACTCATCTCAATTTAAAACAAAACTTCCTAAGGCAAAATCCTAGCCTACCAACTGCCAGGGGCCTCAATGAGCTACAAAGGTGAGCGTGCAGAGACGGGTGGATGATTAGAAAGGGGAGTGGGTGTCAGCTTCTAATTTTTTCTTGAATATTCTGACCTAAAAATCTATAGTGTATAACCTTTCTCTTTCAGAGGGCAGGATAATAGGACTTTATGAGTGAGGACATTATCAATTCTCATTCTGAAATTTTTTCAAAGTTTCTGCCTTTGAAATGAATGATTTATGGTATTCATCAACTGGATAGATTTGTATAAGGAGAACATTTCTCTTTAAATCACTCTGTCTACAAATCTTAACCATCTACAAATGGGTCTGTGAAAAGTTAATGACGTTTGGTATGTTACTTACGAATGACAGGGGTTTGGTCAGATTAAATTATTCCTTTTGAAATTTATAAAAGATCAACTTTTTCCATGAAAAGACATTTCCTTAGAAATTTAAGAACTAAAATTTAAACCCATGAGTACTGTGTCATCTGGGTGGTTAGTGTGGAGGGTTCAGGAGGGACATGTTAAATGGGAAGGGCTTGCTCCTTTAGAACCGGAGGGAAGGCACTTTATTTGCATCTATCTAAAACAGATTTAAGAATTTACCATATTCCTTTCCTTTTCTTTTCTGGAGCAGTGATCAATCTCGATTCTGTGGTAAATAAAGCCTCTGATATTTATACATTTGTTGCAAATATATGAGACTATAACTGCATAAGAATATTACTTTAAATAAATAATGAATTGTTCATTTGTTCTTAAATGACCAATAATGACCAGAGATTAAACTTTGGTAATTAACCATTGTGGTTATGTGTTTATGGTTTTTTAACATCCAGGAAGAATAATGCAATAAGTGCTTGTTATAAAGTTTGTGTACATTTGTAGAAAAAGGGAAGAGTATTTTAACTGTCTTTTCAGATAATTGTGAATATTCTTCTTTGATACTATACTCAAACTTGACAAGTGGGTCCTTTCTTAAATGTTGGTTCCAACGTGGAATCAAACACCCTGTCAGTGGACTTTTTAAACTCCTTTATGTTAGGATCCATTGGTCTTTCTTGCACTTTGAGTGGACCTTTGCCTATGCATCATTTTACTGCTTTAGGTATTGGTCATTTGGAAAATTCTGTTTTGTCGGGTAATACAGATATTACAAACGTTAACGTTTTTTATTATGCAATTTTAAGAAATCACAGTTGTTAATATCACCACTGATCTCATCAGAAAAATCTTTTAAGTATTGGGAAGTTGTCAAGCTCACTGTGAAAACAAGTTTTCCAAAATTTTAATTTTCAATTGAAAGCTTAAAGGCTATCCTTGGCAAGAAATACTGTCAGTTGTTTTTCCTGAATTGACCTTCTCACTTCATTGTAGAGAAAACGTCTGCCAAATACCCAAGTCTGAATAACGGGTTTGTCAGTTGTTCTGTCAAGTAAAAGTAGTATTCCATGAACATAGTGACTCGTTTGGCTCACAACTCAAATAATTGTGCAAGTGTTTTCTGTGAGATAACCATCCAACTTTAGTATACAGCAGGCGTGCTTTATGTGTCCTTCCCATTTTATCACCCAGAAAATAACAAAGATATGTACTCCAAAGGTCAAGATGTAGTAGAAATAACTTTCTTGCATCATCATGGACATTTTTAAGTAAAACTGGCATTACAAATTTTTTTAAAGAATATTTTTGCTGTGATTACCTTGCAGAGAATAATACAATGACAACTGGGGTAGTTTGGTGCTACATTGAATTAGTTACACAGGCAGGAAGAACTCCACTAAGGGTACTGTGCTCCAGCACTTCCTTCTTGTTCCCAGAGCTGGTGGGGATGATAAAAGGAAACCACAGCGAAATTCTTAAACTTAGGTTTTTGTATGCCCTATGTACTGATAATGTTTTTACTGACACTACTATAATAAAGTTACTATGATTTTTTTGCCAAAGGGTTACATAATGATTGTCTGTTTTTGAAGTTGTTTTGAAATATTTTTGTGTATTTCACAGCAGTGTAGGCTTCTGCACTTCCGTTACAGAACATCAAGAACTTTATATCATACTCTCGAATCCTGGTGTCTTAGAACAGAAAGGGGCATTAGAAATTAGAGGCAAATTTGAAAGAGCTGAGTAGTGGATACTTGGATGATCATTATTTTCTGTATTTTTCTTTTTGTATATTTCTTAGTAACCTGAAAATTAAATGCTTCTAATTACATAGGGGAATATGACGTTCCCAAAGAGGCAGCATTTGTGGACTTAATAAATAAATACCAGATGGAAGGATATTTGGGGCATTGCCTTGCCTGTTAGTTCTTTCAGAGTCCCCTCATTGGTCCTCCATGTCTATTGATTCTGCATCTATAAATAGCTTTTCAGCCCCTCGTCCTTTCTCCTTTGATCCCCATCCTTCACACATACCCAGCTCTCCACCTGGCTGTCGGAGGAAGCATTTCTCTTCTCTCACCTGGACTGTTGCAGGTGATTTGGAGAACTGGTTGTCTCACTGTTGTTTTCCCACTGCAATTCACCCTCTCTAGTTTTCTTGCCTGCTGCTTTGTACATTTCTTGGTTTTGTTTTGTATTTTAAAAAAATTAAACTCTTTTTTCCCATCAAAGCAATATCCTATATTGATTAAAAAAACAATCTTAATAGGGAACAAGACTTATAATAAGGAATAGGCGCCTGGAACTCCAGCCCATCCTAACACCCAAGTCCTGCCCCCTAGGCAGCCACTTTTGAGTCTTTTGGCCCTTTTTTCTGTTTTCCTTCATCTTTCAAAATATTATGTCTATACTGCTATTTTTAAATCTTTTGTTATTGGACATTATATGTTGACTTATTACTATGGAAGATGAGGGTTTAACTCTTTTTTACACTGTCTCACACCCCCTCTGCTCCACACCACATGCAGAACCTGTTGTTTCCCCCATGCTCTCAATATATAGGTATCAATTTTTGGTTAAGCCAGTGTTGAGGGTTGACATTCTTAGGAGCATGGAACTGTGGTTCACGGCTAAGGCACTTAACTGCCGTGATTACATTTCCTTTCTTGTGCTGTCTGGATGCAATCTCTCTTTTTCACTTGTGTAATTTTCTTTTTCTCCAGTATTCCTAAGCTTTCTAACAGAACACCCTCTTCTTAACACCTTTTTCCTGGACGCATCTTCTCTCCTGTAGCTGGTGTAGGTGCTTGCCTTGTGGGCCTGTGACAGCTGTTGTCCTGGGGTTACCCTTTGTCGTGTTCCTGGTAATTCCCTTTCTGTCTCTCCTGTGTTGGACCCCTAGTTTTCCTATGCCTACTGACTTCTTTCTTGGTTTACTCTCTCTTTTTAATAGAATATCTTATCTTCTAGGATCTTCCTGAGAAAGAGGACATGGGAGACAAACTTATTAGACGCTTTGCATACCTGAAAATATTTTTATCTCACAGTTGATTGATAACTTAGTTGGCTTCTAGATAGGAAAACATGTTTCCTCAGAATTTTAAAGCCAGTGCACCATTGTTTTCTGTCTTTTACAGTTGCTATTAAGAAGTGTTATACTATTCTGATTCCTCTCTTGGTAGGTGACCTTTTTTCCTCTTTTTTTTTTTCTTAACAACCCTCCCCCCCCCCCCCCCCCCC